TGACATTGAGTCAAATAATACAAATTGACAATGTAGGCTTGAAGCTAATGAACCGTGGGTTAGATAGAGCTCTTTTCTTATTGACAATATGGGTTTTTTTCTTTGCTCTTCTTTTCTCTTTTATGTTCTTCTTAATGTTTTGAATCCTCTGGTTTATATAGAGAATTATAGAAGTAGCGTGTGTCAAGTCATCAAGTTGATGACTTGATGTTGTTTCTTCCATGCACAGAGAAGTCTTTGATATTTTACCATTTCTATTTTGCTTTTTGATTGAGTCCACTACTTTTTCAAGTAGGAAACTCTTATTTACTAAGTTTATTAGTAATTTTGTTTGTACATTTCTTCTTTTTCTACATTCATCCGACCGACTAAAATTTTCATAAACTTTATGCTGAAAATGTAATGTTCGTAGACATATACACATATATACAAGTTTGACGTTTCTAAACTTTCTATAAATACATAATACTCAGAATTCAACATTTGAATACACGCAATGCTTTAACAAACCATATAACCTTTACTTTAGTTGAAATTATATTTCATATTTTAAAAACATAAATTCGTTAAAAATCAGTTTAATTATAATATTTCTAACGAGTTTTAACATTTCTATTTTGGGGTATGGCTGTGACAGTGAAGACGAACGTCTATATACATTCTTTAATTTTTAACTGTTTTGTATTGACATATGTTATTTTCTTGATAAATTATTATTCGAAAAATGAATAATTTGCAACAAACCTAATCTAAGAATATAAACTAGTCAGTGGTGACATGCAATTCTGTGGTAGATAGACAAAAGTAAAAAAGAAGATTTCAAAGAAAAATACATAAACAGATTGTGTTAAAAAAAACATATATACAGTAAAACCTCTATAAATTAATAATGTTGGGACTACAGAAATTTATTAATTTATAGTGATATTAATTTATCTATAAATTAATATTTATTATTTTATAGTATAAATTAATAATTATTAATTTATAGTGGTAATTTAACTCTTAAATGTTTTTTTAAATTATGAATTGGGACAAATTTACAAAATAAGATTAGTTTTTAAGATTATATAAATTTTTATAGTTTAGAATTGAATTCTATATTTATATAAAAAAATAACAAAGAATTAAAAAATTTCTAAATAAATTCACTTCTATGTAAAGTACATACATAAATTCAAATTTATGATTAATACCTCAATGACAAAAAAAAAGATTAATACCTCAATTTCTGTTATCTTTTAACATCCTATAAACAAGCAAAAAATGAATATAATGCATATTTATAAATTTAAAACATTAAAAAAAAATTGTTTATTTTATGATGTTATGGAATATATTATAAGA